CTGCTCTAAGTGACCTGTGCTCTGGGGTACTCCCGGCTCTGTGCTCTGCAGGGGCAGACGTGGGGCTCTCACCCAGGCCTCCTGAATGTACTCAGTGATCTCAGCAGCTCTGTCTAGACTTTTTTGGTGTGTGTTTGTTTGGGGGCCACCCCTGGCAGTGCCCAGGGATCATTCTTGGATAAATGTAGGCACCGGGTGTTGGAAAGCTCTTGGGTAAAGTCAGGGACCTCCAGCCTGGATTGAAGGTCTCTAGCTTTAGCTGAGAGACATGCTGAGCTGTTGTACTGCAAACCTCTTTCAGGGTGCGTGTTGGAGGTCACACACTTCAGCTGCTGTGTCTGCACGTGTGCCCACCAGCACCATCCTCCATTAAGTTGTGGTGCTCGAGTGCATGGCTGTATGTCAGGGTCTCTGTGGGGGTCACACACATGTCCACCAGGAGTCCTGGCTACAGTGCTCATGATGCTTTCCAGAGGTCCCATACTTTATCTGTGATGTTTTCTCACACCTTGTGTGCACCAGAAACAGCAGAACCTCCAAGATCCTGCTCTGTGCATAGGCAGCACTTGGGGAGTTAAATCATGACCCCATGCTTGCAAGGAAGATTCTTTCAGCCACTGAGCTTAGAGACCTAAGACCCTATCTTTGCGTGTGATTTTTTTTTAATTTAGAGAAAAGTGCATGTAATAAGCATACTTAAATCCTTTGTGGGATGAGGATTTCGCAAATAAAATCCTTATTGTGACTGGAATGCCCAAAACCCACCGTGAAAATTCAATTTCTTGGTGTGAGGTGTGTGTGTATGTGTGTGTGTGTGTGGGGGGGGGAATAGAGATGAGGTGCGGGATTCAGAAAAAAAAATCCTTAAGAGGAAACTATCAGAAGTTACTTCTATTTCACCCTCCAATCTTCCCAACAATTATAGAGCTTTGATTCTACCCAGCAATTATATAGAATCTAACTGTTCTCTAGAATTTGTTCCATTTTGGTCCCATTGGAGGCTGCCTGTAGCATCTTCGCTTTGATACACTGGAAACATTTGGTAAATGTTATTCACTTGGTTCATCAGAAATGAAAACTTAGCAAGAGGGATTTTAATGTGCATTGGATCATAGAAGAGAGGCACACTCTGTTTTGCAAGAACTTAGTCAAAGCAGTCAATGTATTACAACTATTTTGTAAGAAGAAACGCAGTCACTGAGACATTACTCCCACCCCCCACCCCCATTTCTGCTCATTTTCACCTTCAAGATGGCCAGAAGGGTCTGAAAGCTGTCACAAGTTGTGTCTCAAGAGGAAACGCACAGAGAATAAGTCAGCATCCAAGAAGTCAGATGACCAGATAGATGATCACGAGGTCCCCATCCTCTTTATCCTGAGCCCGGCCTTCTGTTTTTCCTTGAGACCCTCTTCCTATTTGTCCTAAAACCCACCTCCTAGTTTTCAAGAAATGGACAGAAGTCGGAAGCCACTGCTTCTACCTAAGTGAATATTCCAAGGGACAAAGGTGGTGAAGGTTGATGAAAGCACTGTTACCTCCTTTCCTCCTGCTCCAGGCTACAATAAAGCTTTATCCTCTCACTAGTGATCTTGTTGGGCTTTTTATGCAGCAAACTGTGTGCTCTCTTCACTGTATCTTTTTATTTATTTTATAACAGAGCCATGATTTACAATGTTACTGAGAGTTGCCTTTTAGGCATACCATCTTTCAACACCAGTCCCTCCCCCAGTGTTCCCAGATTGCCTCCCCATCCCAACCCCCACTCCACCTCTGCCTGTCAACTTGACAGCCACATTGTAAATTTCCAGCCATCGCTGCTTTGATCTGGTGTTCTCAGTTCTGTTGAGTCTGTGTTTTGCATAGATGGCTCTCAGCCTCCAATCTCTGGTATAACTGAAAGCCTGAGGCCTGTTCATCCATTACTTCTGGTTCTCTTTTTCCCTCCTTGGATTTTTTTTTCCCCTTCCCTATCTGTCACCTCTGTTTTTCCTTCCTTGGATTTTTTTCCCCTTCCTTGTCTATCACCTCTCTAAATACTGGGGTCAAAGATCATCTAAGTATCCCCCTTTTCCTACACTACATTTTCTCATCCAGTATTCTCTATCCCACAGATACGTGAGATTATCCTCTGGCTACACTGTATCTTTATGAAATTGGGAAATACCCATAGTTGTGTAATAGAGAATGTGCATATTGACATAAATTGAGATGATTATTTTCAGCTTTTGTAATTATGTTCTTTAAAAAGGAAGCCCTACGGGTTGGAGTGATAATACAGTGGGTGGGGGGCTTGCCTTGCTGGCAGCTGACCAGGGTTTGATCCCTGACCCCACACGCACAGGATAGGAAATAAAGAGCCGTAGTTTCTACGTTCCTATGTACCATTCTCACCTGAGAAACTGGTTTAACTCCTACCCCCGAATTGCCACCGTGTCCTACGACTGCACCGTGTCTTATGAAGGCCATGGCTCCTTGGTTATCTCCCAAGAGGCCAGATGGCCAGATAGATGACCATGAGGTCCCCATCCTCTATAGCCTGAGCCCGGCCTTCTGTTTCTCTCCAGACCATCATCTTATTTGTCCTAAAATCCACCTCTAGAGCGCATACAAGACAAGCTTCCTACCCCTGAGTTATACCTCCAGTCCTACTTGATCATTTTAAAGCTCCTCAGATGATTATGTCCGGAGCAGAGAAACACTTACTGGAAGCAGAGCTGACACCTAATTACAAAGGGCACTGCATTTGTGGGGCTGGAGCAATAGTACAGAGGGTAGGGTGCTTGCCTTACACGCAACCAACCCAGGTTCAATCCCCCACACTATAAATGGTCCCCTGAACATCACTGGGAGTGATTCCTGGGCACAGAGCGAGGAGTAAGCCCTCAGCACCTCTGGGTTGCCCCCACAACAAAAAAAAGTAATGCTTTTTATTTTTAAGTGACCTAAGGCTATAACATTGGCCCTGGGGGTTCCTGGTGGCCAAAGTAAATAGCAAACCACAATCAGCTGCAGTTCTTTCACCCTCCTGCAAGAATCCGGCAGTTCCTGGGAAGACAGCAAACCTTCCCCCTTGGTCCTGAACTGAATGACTTGTTTAGTTCTTACCAGGGACACAGAATGACGCTGGCTGCAGACCACAATTCTATAAACACCATGACAATAAATGACATATGGCATGCTGCATGCAGTGCTTTCTAATCACCATTTCTCGGGAAAAGCCAAGGTCACACCGAGAGAGCAGGCGGTGCGGGCAGTGGATAGAGGCAGTGTGGTTGTAGCCTGGGGACAGAGAGGAAGTGACACACAGCTCTGTGTGGCTCCGGGAGGGAGGTGGGCCGGAGCTGGGCTCCTCAGCCAGCATCTGCGCCTTAGTGACCATACACTGCGATTGGCAAAATAAAAGACGGTGTTCTTGCCCCTAACAGAAACTAGCAGGTCGACAAAGACCCAGCTAGGAAGAGTCCCGCTAAAGCAAAGCTCATGTTGAATTAGATGCACGTGTGTGCCGAGAACAAAATCCTTTATCAAAAGAAACCGAATTTAGAAACGGAAGACAGGTTAAAAAAAAAGGGGGGGGGGCGCTGGAAAGGATGAGCAGAGATCTGAGTTTTCCAATGTGCATTCATAAAAATAATGTTAAAAAAAAACCCAAAACAACAACCCAACTCAGTTCATGGCATGAAAGTTTCGTCCTGTTGATGCCACGAGGGTGTGGGGTGAGTGTGGAAAAGACACCCGTTATTTGAGGCACGTTTCCAGCCCCAAGTTGCGTCGCAGGAGGCAACGCAGAGCTTAAATTGGGATGGGCGTGCCCCCGTTCTTTTGAAACTGATCTAGCAGGGCGGTCAGCGGAAATTTAGCTGGGAACCGAAAGGATTCTTGGGGGTCACGTGAGTTCTCCTTTCTCAAACCACTGGAAGGAAAATCCTGAACGCACCCCTGTTAATAATATCCAAGTAGGCACTTTGCTGTTGTCGCTTATTTCCGCCTCTCCCCCCTCCCCACACGCTCCCACCCCCCCCCGTCCAAAAGACACGCGCTGCCGTTTTTGTTTGTTTTGGACCCAGAGCGGTGCACATCTAAATTCCTGCAAAAAGTCGAGAGACAATTTCTTTCACTTATTTAGTGTCTGGCGTTCCCTTCCACCCGAAGGCTGAAACGCACAGTTCAGGCTGAGAGCAATAAGTAGCCGATGGAGGTTCATAACACGTCTTGGTGGTGTGTGGTTCTGCAGAGTACGACCTGAAACTTGGGAGTCTGATTATTTCCCGGGGCGACGCGCCCGGGCGCCCCGCGCGGGCCGTTTTCGGGTGGGTGGGTGGGTGGGTGGGTGTGTACCCAGGAGCGGCGCCGTGGGGGTTTTGTTCCCGGGAAGGTGGACACAGGCAGTGGCGACCCGCGGCCACACCGGGGCAGCCTCTCCTCGGTTGCCGGCCGGCTCGGCTGATTCGCAGGGGGTTGCCAAGCATTGAAAGGGGTCTAGAAACGTCCGCGCCCCCCACCCCCACCCCCGATGGAACAGCGACCGCGCGCTTAGAGCTCTGCGCCAAGAAGAGCAGTGGGACGGGAAACCGATTTTTCTTTTCTTTTGCGGAAAAACGCGCTTCCCGCCTCCCCCCCTCCCCCCGCAAGCCCAGCCCGCCCCCTCTCCTCCGCAGAGGAAAAAAAGCGAACGAGAGGGGGTGGGGGTCCCCGCCGGGAAGGCCCAGCCCGCACCAGCTCTCCGCAGCGGGGTGCGCTCGGGGGGGCCCCCGCACCCCTCCACCGCCGCCGCCGCCCGCGGCCCGCCCCCCGGCCCGGCCTGTGATTGGCTTGGGGGGGGGACGCGTGTGCCCGCCCCGGCCCGGCTGGGGTCCCCTCGGGCCGCGCGGGCGGGAGGAGGCGGCCGAGGGGCGGGGAGAGCGGGGCCGGCGGGCGCGGGCGCGGGCGCGGGGGCGGGGAGGCAGCGGCGGGCGCGCGGGCCGCGGGGAGGGAAGCCCGGGCAGCTCCGCGCCGCCGCCCAGCGCCGGGACCCGCGCCGGCCCCGCAGCCTTCCGGGAGGAAGCGGCGCCGGCCGCGGCGGGGCGCGCGCGCTCGGGTTCCCTCACCTGCCGGGGCGCGCGCGCAAGGGCCCGGGCCGGCCGCGGGAGTGCAGAGCCCGGAGCGGGGCCGGGATCCCGCGCGGGAGGCTCCGGCTCCATGGCGACCGGACTCGGGGAGCCGGTGTACGGACTTTCGGAAGACGAGGTGAGCTGCGCCCCCTTTTGCGCCTGGGACTCCCCGGGGAGTTCCTGCCCCGCGCCGGCCGGGGGTGGGGACGCGAGCGACACCTGGGGTGCGCGTCCCCCCCACCCCAGTGCCAGCCGGGGAACCCCTTCCCGAATGCAGGAGCCCCGCGGAACTGGGGGGGATCGGGCCCTGCCGCCGCTCACCCCCATCTCCCCTCCATCCCCCTCGCAGCCCCAGCCGAGCGCATTGTTTGTAAATAAAGAGTTGCGGGGTCCCCACGGCGGCTTCCCGGCCCGTGCGGGGGGCGCAGGGCGCGTGCACCCCGGTCCCGGCCGCGTCTCCCCGGGGCTCCCGGGCAACTTTGCACCGGGGTCCAATGACCAAGTGTCACGTCCGGGTGCCGGGGAGCCCCGGGAGCCCCGGAATCGTCTCCCCCCACCCTGGAACTTTCTAATGATGGTGCCGGCGGCGCTCGGGTGTGCGTGTGCGTGTGTGTGTGTGTGTGTGTGTGTGTGTGTTCGGCGCGGGGCGAGTGCGTGCAACGCTCGCAGCGGCTTGGGGAGTCCGGAGCCTGGACGTGTCGGGGTCCTGGGGGTGTGGGGGCTTGGGGGGGGGAGGGTGAGCCTGGTGGCAGGTGCGACTGGAAACTTGGAGGAAGCTTGCAGCCCTGCCTTCCTTTTTCTTTTCTTTTTTTCCCCCTTCTCCTTTTTTCTCCCGAGGATTCCAAGCGCAGCCCCTCCGGGGCGGGTAGAGAGAGAGAGAGCCGAAGGCTCCGATCGATCGATCCCTTTTTATTAATAAAGCCAGCCGCGCGCCCGGGCTTGGAGTTTTGCCCGGAGAGGGGCTTTGTTTGCGCCCGCTCGCGGCCGCTGGCCCGTTCCCACTCCCCGCTCCGGACGCGATCCTGCTAAATCACTGTCCAGCCCTGCCCCGCTCGGCGCTTATTGGTGTGCGGCTCTGCCAAAAAAGGGGGGGGGGTGTGGGAGGCCTGTGGCTGGCGGGCAGGTTGGATGGAGCAGGTAGGAGGGGTTTACCAGCTGGCGGGGTGCGCGCGCTCAGGTCTGGCTCCCCTTTGCAGAGAGGTGAATTTACAGCCCATGAAGCATTACTCAGCAGGGAGGTATTTCCTATCCTGGTCGTGCATTTCATGAAAAGTTGATGCCTGGAAAGGCAGGCTCTCTCGATTTTTCTTTCTCCCTCGCCCTTTCTTTTTCCGAGGTCTCCCCTCTTTCTCTGGCAATGAGGGTGGGGTTAATTGGAGAGGGTTCTTATCCGAGGCATGCCCACGTTCGGGCTTTCCTCATTAGCCTTCTTCCGTGTGTGTGCGCGCGCGTGCGTGCCAACTAGGTATCTTAGATTTGTTGGGGGAACTTGACTTCCTGCCCCATGGATCTTGGGGTGTGGATTCCATCAAAGAATGATGGCCACACAAATAGCGTGTAAATTGCATTTCCCATTCTTTTACCCTGCTGTAATGTGCTTGTGTAAAATAATTTTCCTTCCCTGTGCAGGCCTCGGGGGATGGGGGGAAAGTGAGTGGCATTGTTTCATTTCCCCGGAGCATTTTCCTCTCCCTGCCTCTGGAGCCGGCTCTTTCCTTTTAGTCTCCATGTAATTAGTGGCAGTGGAGGACAGGCAGTGAGCAAAAGGGGCTGAGATTCACCCATTCTGCAGAAAGGGTTTTGCGGTGTTGTGGGAGATGCAGAGGGCTGTGTTTCATCTTAGGTCCCCCCCCCCCCTTTCAGTTACATGATTATCAAGGGCTCCCCAAACCCATGTGCATTTTGCATGTTTGGGTAAATGCCCCTGGATCCAAGGATCTCAGACACGCCGCTGGGCTTTGTGCTTTGTTTACATCGCTGCTAATGTCAGAATCTCAGGGAGCCAAGCTTGCTATGGCTGCCTGGAGGTGTCAGGACTGATCTTAACTGGTGCCCAGTGGGAAGGGGAGGGGTGGGTGGGATATACACAGATTTGGGGTGTGTGGGTTTGTGCTGAGGGGAATTCTCTGCTGCTGGACGTCCAAGAGGCAGACAGACTCTTCCGGAGAGGCCTGGCTGATACTATGGACTTGCCCACACTTTTCTAATGCAGAAGACAAGTCACATCTGTCTTCTTTCACAGCGTCTCCTTCCAGTGAGAAAAGGAGGCAGGGCTGTTGGGATGACTTCACAATTCTCTGCCGTTGGCTTTGGGATGGGAGATTTCACGCTGTCAGGTTGCCCTTCAGAAACCAGGGCATGCCATCGTAGAATATTAACCGCGGCTCGTGGAATTGGCGTGGCTCGGTGTGTCTTCTGGAATGAGCCTGGGTCAGAGCAGGAAGAGGTTTCAACTAAGCCCAGACAGAGCCTGCCCTGCTGCAGTGTCAGGGTGGCATTGCCAAGGTGTGTTCAGTAAATCGGGGACCTCTTTGGTTCGAGCCCAGGCACGCAGCATCGCCCCAGGACGTGTCTAGGTTGCAATGTAGAATAAACGTTTTAGCGAAATAGGGATCTGTTCCTAGGAAATGTCTTAGAGGAAAGTTTGCACTTTGGCTGGAGATTGACAGCTGCTAGCCACTTGCAGGTTCAGAGTGCGCCTGTCTCATGAACTCTTGATCTGAAATACTGCTGTTCTGAAGAGGTGTGCTCTCCTAGAACCGTGTAAGGGTCTGGGCCTGGGTCTGTCCAGTTAGAGCAGGAAATGCATCTTATATGTACTGGTTGAGTATGGGCACTGTTTGTTTTCTGCTGTCTTTTGGGCTGAGAAGCTCTTCTAGATGGCTCGTGCTTGTCCTGATTTTATTTTATTTTATTATATTTGGTGTTTGGGTCACACCTGGCGATGCACAGAGGTTACTCCTGGCTCATGCACTCAGGACTTACTCCTGGCGGTGCTCAGGGGACCATATGGGATGCTGGGAATCGAACCCTGGTCAGTCGCATGCAAGGCAAACGCCCTACCTGCTGGGCTATCACTCCAGCCCCCTTGTCCTGATTTTAAACCAGGCCATCTTAGGCAATGAAATCTGAAATTGCCATCCGAGGAAGGACTCTTGGTGTCAAGGGGTGAGCAAATGAATGAAATTTGTGTTTCAGGGTCCAGGGCCAGATTTGGGTCGGAACCAGAACAGTTTCGACTAGTTTCTTGCCTCCTGGCTGGGTTTCTTGCAGGGTTCTTTGGTTTTGTTTTTATTTGTTTGGGGCCCTCCAGAGCTGCTTTTGGCAAAACTTACCGGTGAATGTTTCAGTTGGCCTTCTGAAGTCTTGTATTACAACATCTTAGAAAGGTATGCATTATGGAAATGACATAAGGGCTTTCTGTGGGTGAAATACTAAAGTTGGAATGACAGGACTCTTAGAAGATGTTGCATTAAACTTTTGTGTGTGACTAGAATGAGGTGAATGGCATAGGAATGAAGACTGGGCTGACATGGGGCACTGTCCTGCCTTATTCGATGATGGCCATTGGCTAATGTTTCATGGCTTTGTCTGCACCCAGCCCAGTGTTCCGCCTGAAGCATTTGCTCGCATTCAGTTTGAAGAACCCTATGAAGAATGCTGTGATTTGCAGGTGAGGCCTGGAGATGTCAGAGAGGTTAAATGACTGGGACACGGACACACAGGGAGTGAATCCTGAAGCCAAGACTTGGACCTGGTTTTGCTGCTATAACAGGAGTGGGTTTTCCCTGTCTTTACTGTTGTTGCGATATCTGGGGCTTGCACAATTTAAAGTGCAGTGGAGGTCACACACATGTTTCTCTGAATCCTAATGTAGTGTTGCTGGCTTTGCCTTCAGCCTGAATCGTGGTGCTGGGGATTCAGCTCCTGACCTTCACGCCTGCAAGGAGGTACTCTGCCCCTGAGCCATATACCCAGGGCCTGACACTGGAGGGGTGTGAGTGTGAGTGAGTGTGTGTGTGTATCGCTTGCCGTCAAACTCACTCATGCCACACAGGAGCTGTGCTGCTGTGCCAACTTCTTGGCCCCCAGCTATAGTTTTTACCATGCCCTTTTTCTTTCCAGGCATCATAAAAGGTCTTTCTACCTTTATTATTATTATTATTATTATTTATCCCAGTGGGCGATAGCATAGCGGTAGGGTGTTTTGTTTGCCTTGCATGTGGCCGGCCTGGCGAGCCAGGTTCGATTCCTCCACCCCTCTCGGAGAGCCCGGCAAGCTACCAAGAGTATTGATATGCCAAACACAGTAACAACCAAACACAGTAACAACAAATCTCACAGTGGAGACGTTACTGGGCCCGCTGGAGCAAATCATTGAACAACGGGAGGACAGTGCTCCAGTGCTAAATCCCAGTGGGAGGTTTCACCCTGAAGGGCTTGGGGACCACCAGGGCTATACCTGGCCATGCTGGGATGGGGCTCATTATCCACTTTGATCCAGCACCTCCCACATGCCAGGCACGTGCTTTACCCCTCGAGCCATATCCCCAGCGCCAAAGCTGGTGAATTATGCAGGATAATGCAAGATAGAGATAAATAGCTGGTGTAAGCTGATGGCTTCCAGGCCAGCATGGACCAGGAGCCCCGCTTGGGAAAATCTGACATCACTGGGGCTGACTCTCAGCTGGCCGCTCTGTGGTAGCGGTCACAGTCGTCCCTGCTCCCCACTCTCTCATTTGCATGGAGTCACCTACTCCACAGGACTGTGGTCTCTTGCTGTCTGGCCTCTATAATCATGTTTTCTTTGAGAGGCTCTTGACTTTCAGATGCACCATTATCCTGGGTATGGCCGAGACAGAGAAGAAAAACTGTTGTCATGCTCGAATAGACTGTTGGTTTTCTGAAGCGGCCCCCGGTGCTGCAGACGATGAAAACAGGAGTGTTTTAGAATCCCTGAATAACTCCAACTGGGAACCTGGGGTGACCCGGGGCCAGCCTTTACAATACCCACAATCAACACTTTTAAAGTCCACTGCTAATCAGATTTCAGCCTTTCTGTCTCAGAGAAAAGGGGAGAGTTGGGGATTTGCTAGTCGTGGGCATTAGCAGAGACACAGGGCGCCTGCCTGATCC